CCTCTCTCCCTCATGCGATATTATCGCAAGATGGCCGCCCCCCATATCATCGTAAGATGGCTGCCACAAGATGGCCAGCAGGGAAGGGCAGTTGGGGACAACCTGGTTTGCAGGAGAGGGGAGTTGGGAACAGGCAGGCATGGGAGGACAGTTAGGGGCGATTGGGCTGGCAGGGGAGCAGTTAGGTTTCAATCAGGCCAGCAAGGGAGCAGTTAGGGGGCGGTCAAGAAGCAAGTTAGGAGCAATCAGTCAGTCAGGCAGGCAGGCAGGCAGGAAGAGCAGTAGGAGCCATCAGTCCCAGATTGTGAGAGGGATGTCTGACTGCCTGCTTACGCCCGATCCCACAAGAAATAAACGGCAGTTGGACATCCCCCAAGGAGTTCCAGATTGGAGAGGATGCAGACTGGGCTGAGGGGACCCTTTCCACTCCCCACCCCCTGTGCATGAATTTCGTGCACCGGGCCTCTAGTATTGTTACAATTCCTTGTGATTTTGTGATTTTACTAATTATAAAAAAGTTTTATTGCTCATATAAGAATTAAAAAGATACCACATATAAATGCATCATTCACTGGTAGTTTTGTGATCTACATTCTAGAAAATATAAAGGAGCATTTTGCCATTTAGTTGAATATATACTGAGCCACAGAAAGATTTATTGATTTTCTTAAGGCCATTAAAATAAATTAGCTCTTGCATTAGAATTCAGACTTTGTATATGTTATGTCCCTGGTTGGCAAACTGCGACTCATGAGCCACATCTGGCTCTTTGGCCCCTTGAGTGTGGCTCTTCCACAAAATACCATGGCCTGGGTGAGTCTATTTTGAAGAAGTGGTGTTAGAAGAAGTTTAAGTTAAAAAAATTCGGCTTTCAAAAGAAATTTCAATCGTTGTACTGTTGATATTTGGCTCTGTTGACTAATGAGTTTGCCAAACAAGGCTAATATGCAAATTGTCCCCTCAACCAGGAGTTCGACCAGGGGGACAAGCTAGCCTGGCAAACGCCCTCAGCCCCTTCCCTGATTGGCCCTCCCACCCTGATCAGGGGCAGGTCTAGCTCATGAACCTCCCACATCCTCTGTCCCTTGGTCAGCTTGGCTCGATCAGCCCCAATTGGGGCGGGACAGCTGGACCCCACCTGTGCACAAATTCGTGCATCAGACCTCTAGTTGTAAAATACATGGAGCATAGTATGAAAAAAGAAAAAAAGAAACAGACATAGAAGAGCAATTGGCAACATGTGGATATGGTTACAGGTGGGTTGTGATGGACCGAGATGCCGTAGTACCTTGTGGGAAGGTTGAGTTCTAACTACTAAAATTTTTCTGTGCCCCCTGAATTCACCAGCTATCTGGCAGCAGTGCTACCTCTTTCTCCTTGGTCATATTCATTCATTCACTCATTCATCTATCTCAAAGGGAAGGGCCTGAATTTGTTGCTTTATTTTATCATCCACCAGAGAATGCTCTGACCACAGGAAACATATCATTTTGAAATTGTGGCAAATTTTCCTTTTTTAGATATAAACCTTCCATCATTGTTTTGCATTATAGAAGGAACTGACAGAAGTGACTCCACCCCAGAAATTCTTTTTTTCAATCTAGTTATTCTTATTAACTGGCTTTTTTTCTTTTTTTTATTAAGTGTGCTGATGTCTGTTTATCCTTTTGTGTTAGAGACAGTAAGATGACTTCAGTAAGTTTGATTCTGTGTGTTCCATTTACTTAAATATCACAATTTAAAGGAACCATATGTAATTATGATTGATGTGCTAAGAGAGTCACCTTTTCAGATAGTGATTTTACTGCCTAAGCAATGTGTAATGTCACAAAAAAATTCTGTGCTTTGTTTAGAAAATGTGTTCTGATGCCACTACTAAATACACATTTAGTCTTCTCTGTCTCATTGTGCTTTGAACTGAGTTGTCATAAATGAGAGAATAACATCTCTGTTTGTATGTATAATCACAGTTTGAATTAGGTAATACATAGGAGAAACTACTATTTTCCAAAGGATAAATTAAAACATAAATTTTATTCCATAAAATACCAAATTTTAAATATCATTCTTAAAAATTTATTTTTGAACTCTCAACAAGTTGGGAGTACAAAGATCATACCTCAACATAATAAAAGCTATATATGATAAACCCACAGCCAACATCATACTCAATGGGCAAAAACTAAAACCATTTCCTCTAAGAACAGGAACAAGACAGGGATGCCCACTATCGCCACTCCTCTTTGACATAGTACTGGAAGTACTAGCCATTGCAATTAGACAAGAAGAGGAAATAAAAGGCATCCAAATTGGAAAAGAAGAAGTAAAGTTATCCTTATTTGCAGATGACATGATATTGTATATAAAAAACCCAAAAGACTCCATTAAAAAACTAATTGACTTAATAAATGAATTTGGCAATGTAGCAGGATACAAAATTAACGCCAAGAAATCTATGGCATTTCTATATACCAATAGGGAACTTAAAGAAACAGAAACTAAAAAAGCAATTCCATTTACTATCGCACCAAAAAAATTAAGATACCTAGGAATAAATTTAACTAAGGAAGTAAAGGACCTATATGCAGAAAACTACACGACACTGAAAAAAAGAGATAGAGGAAGATGTAAAGAGATGGAAGAACATACCATGTTCATGGATTGGTAGAATCAACATCATCAAAATGTCCATACTTCCTAAAGCAATCTATAGATTCAATGCACTCCCCATTAAAATACCAACGGCATATTTCACTGACCTAGAAAGAACTCTCCAAAAGTTCATTTGGAACAATAAAAGACCCCGAATAGCGACAGCAATCCTGAGAAAGAAGGGTAAAGTAGCAGGGATCTCAATACTGGACTTCAAACTGTATTACAAAGCCACTGTTCTCAAAACAGCCTGGTACTGGCACAAGAACAGAAATATAGATCAATGGAATAGAATCGAGAACCCAGATATCAACCCAAATCACTATGCTCAATTAATATTTGACAAAGGAGGCACGAACATACAATGGAGTCAAGACAGTCTCTTCAATAAATGGTGTTGGGAAAATTGGACAGTTACATGCAAAAGAATGAAACTAGATCACCAACTTACACCATACACAAAAATAGACTCAAAATGGATACAGGACTTAAACATCAGACGGGAAACCATAAAAATACTAGAAGCATCCACAGACAGCAAAATCTTAGACATATGCCAACATAACTTCTTCACTGATACTGCCCCTAGGGAAGCTAAAGAGAAAATAAACAAATGGGACTACATCAAAATAAAAAGTTTTTTTTACAGCAATAGAAACGATCAACAAAACAACAAGAAAGCCCACTGTGTGGGAGAACATATTTGCAAATGTTACCACTGATAAAGGTTTAATCTCCAACATCTACAAACAGCTTATACAACTAAATAAAAGGAAGATGAATGATCCAATTAAAAAATGGGCAATGGACCTAAATAGAATATTTTCAAAAGAAGACAGAAGGAAGGCCAAAAGGCACATGAAAACATGCTCAAAGTCACTAATTATCCGAGAGATGCAAATCAAAACAACAATGCGGTACTATCTCACACCTGTCAGAATGGCCAACATCAACAAATCAACAAACGACAAGTATTGGTGAGGTTGTGGAGAAAAAGGAACCCTCTTGCACTGCTGGTGGGAATGCAGACTGGTGCAACCACTGTGGAGAACAGTGTGGAGTTTCCTCAAAAAACTGAAAATGGAACTCCCATTTGACCCAGTAATCCCACTCCTAGGAATATATCCCAAGAAGCTAGAAACACCAATCAGAAAGGATATATGCACCCCTATGTTCATAGCAGCACAATCTACAATAGCCAGAATTTGGAAACAGCCTAGGTGCCCGTCAGCAGATGATTGGATCAAAAAACCTATGGTATAATACATCTACACAATGGAATTCTATGCTGCCATAAAAAGGAAGGAATTCTCATTTGCAGCAACCTGGATGGAATTGGAGAACATCATGCTGAGTGAAATAAGCCAGTCAATGGAAGAGAAATACCACATGGCCTCATTCATTGATATTAAGGAACATTATAAACTGACAAACCAAAAGTCAGATATAAAGATAGTAAAGCAACAAGCAGACTGTAAAATTACAGTGGGGAGAGAAGGGAGTTCTGGGGGAGATAAGAGATCAACCGTAGGACTTGTATACATGCATATAAGTACAACCAATGGACACAAAACTCTGGGGAGGGAAGGTATGTATGGGAGTAGGGGGGCAATGTTAAAATATGTACACAGATAATAATAAAAAAAATTATTTTTGATTGTCTTTGCAACCATAAGTAAAGCTTACAATGAATAACCGGGCAATAAAATACTAAGTATATCTATTTTAGATGCCATTAATTTTTCTAAGACCTTTGTATGTATTAATTCAGTCTTCACAACAGCATCATTAAGATAATTGATATTACTGTTATTCTCATTTTACAGGTGAGGACATTTTGGCCACAGGCATGGAACTACCAAGTTTAGGAGTTAGAAATTGACCCCAGTTGTCCAGTTGAACTGTTGTGCTTAATGCCTATGTTATTGACTTCACTGCCATTAAATGTAATGTTACAACTGCTGATCTAGAATTTTAAATCATATCACATTGTCTGTATTATATAGATAGGCAAATTGGAAGAAAAATTTCCGTAAGTTCAATTGTGAAAGAAAAATGTATAAATATTTAACTATTCTGATAATTTTGCTTGATCTAATTAGAAATTGAATTTAAGAGTTCACCACTGTACAGTATAGATGAATTTTAAAAATGGTTAACTGTGAGAGGTGATTTGGCATTTTGGAGATGTGTAATAGTAGCTAACAATTACAACAAACCATTGGACTTACAGGTGTGTATTTTTCTAAAACATTACTTTGGAATTTCAAAATGCCTTAACTATAATATACAGCTTTGTTATCAGTACAAAGGAACAGTATGAGAATCTTTCAAAGTTACATGAAAACATGGAAAAGCTATACCAGAGCATAATGGGATACTATGCTGTTGATGTGAAAAAGGTGTCCGTGGAAGACTTTTTGACTGACTTAAATAACTTCAGAGCCACATTCATGGTATGTTAAAAAATTTAATTTGATTTTTAAAAAGTATTTATCTATACTACCTCATCTAATACTTTTACTTCATTACTTCATTCCACTCCTGTTGTCTAGTAAAATCTACCTTTTCTGATGTCGAAAGTTAGCTTTAAAATTTCATATTTTGAATCTATTAAAAAAATGGGTGGTTTGTTCCCTTTTGGGCCTTCCCAACATTAAACTGTAATCAGAAATTTTTATTGAAACTTTGAAAATTTCTGAAGTTTTTCATAGAGACTCCCCTCCTGGCTGATTACAGAGAATTTTTATAGTAAGTTTTTGGCTATGAATTTGTTTCTTTATACTTATGATCAATTTGTATTTTTGTGGTATAATTTTACCAAATTCCTTGCAGCTCTTATGAAGCTTTTCCCCCCTGTTCTTTTCTTAATGCATTGTACAATAAGCTACCTGCAGTTTGCTTTTGAATGGATTTTATATTTCTAGGGTTTCCTTTAGATACTTTAATAGGCAGGTCAGGTCTTTGATGTGCAATCCTTTCATTTAGGTATTAAAAAGATCTTTTGAAAAGTATTAGCTGATTAGATAGGGGGAAAGAACCATACATATTAAAATGAGAAGGCATTGTTGCCTCCCTAGGGAACTGGGGATACATTTCTGCAAAGAAAAAATATGTTATTCTTAATAGTTAGGTAAGTCATTTCTGTATTTCAGCAAATGTTAGTGGGGATTAAAAAGTTCTTGAAATATGAAAAAAAAAACTGGATTTAAAGAGTCGTTTATTTTTTAAACCTTCCTTGCTAAATTTATTGGACTTGGCTATAATCACTGGGTTATGATTAGATAGCCTTTTAATAAATGATAATTTAAAGGAAAACTAGTCTATCTGCATTAAGCTTTTGTTTACTTTCTCCACAAGTCAAAGTGATTATTTAAATTATTTTTATACCAGAAGGGGTTTTGATTATTAAGTATATTATGTGCCTATATGTATGCTGTATTGAATGATATATAAATTTTTACAATGTTTTATGAGGCAAATTGGCTTAGTGGAAGTAGCAAAGGCTTTGCAGTTTGAAAGAGCTAGTTTTGGGTGGCGGACTAGTTATGTGACTATAAACACTAACATTCTTGAGACTCAACTTTCCATATTTATAAAAGGGAATGTCAATTTTTCTCTCTCAAAAGGGTGTTTAAATATTAAACAGGATAATATATGTTAAATGTTTACCTTAGCTTTTGGCACATGGTAGTTGGACAATAAATTATTGGCTAGAGGATTAACTCAACAAGCTTGAAGTACTCAAACCCTGAGCATTCCAAAAAAAGCTCTAGTCCTTGCCTGACTCCTGGGAGGTCACCTCAAAGCCCTTGGGATATCCTGTCTGGTAAGGGGTCTTTGTATACCTAGGACCAAGCTAAATAGTTAATGCTAAAAATGTGATTTATGGTGAATACCTGTTTTTGTTTATTTTTGTTTTTAATCCTCACTTGAGGATATTATGCATTAATTTTCTGAGAGAGTAAAAGACAGAGAGACAGACTGAAACATCAGTGTGAGAGAGACACATCAATTGGTTGCCTTCACATTTGCTCCAATCAGGGCTGGGGATCCAGTCTACAAACAAGGTACATGCCATTGACTGGAATTGAACCTGGGACTTTTCAACTACAGGCTCTTTCCACTGAGCCAAACTGGCGAAGGCATGAATACTTATTTTTGTTCTCCTGAGGCAATGGGCCACAATGTATCAGGTGGCCCTCTGTGGGGTGCTGGAGACTGAGCAGCTAAGGTAGCTCATGCAGGAAGTGTATGCCTATAGGACTGTCCTCCCCAACAAATACTCTTGACAGTAGGCCTAGGTGAGCTGCCCTGGTTGGCAATGTGCTTCATGTGTTGTCACACATCATTGCTATAAATATTAAACTCCATTGGGAGAGGACAGTGTGATTTAATCTGTATTCTTTTGGTGTAAACTGTAACAGTGAATAGAACAGCTTTCCTGAATTCTGTGAGTCCTTAAAAAAAATGATCAAACTCAAAGCTTATCTTAGAGATCCCAGACACAATTATGTATAAAATTATTAAATGCATACATGAAATAATATCCATTATATTTATAGTAGAGGCCAGGGGATGAATTTGTGCACCATTGGGGTCCTTCAGCCTGGCCTGTGGGATTGGGCTGAAACCAGGGCTCTGACATCCCTCTAGAGGTCCTGTATTTTGAGAGGGCACAGGCCAGGCTGAGGGATTCATCAGGGAGGGACGAGGGAGGTTGGCCAGCTGGGTAGAGCTCCAGCGCATGTCCAGCTTATCTCTACCAGTTGGAGTGTCTGACCCTGATGGTCAGTGCATGTCATAGCGAGCGGTTGAGCGGCCTTAGCATAGCATTAGCATATTGTGCTTTGATTGGTTGAACGGCCAACTGGTTGCCCAGACACTTAACATATTAGGCTTTTATTATATAGGATTTTTATGAACCGTACATTTTCCCCAGATGTTTTACTTACATATATTACCTCAGCCAATCTTCATAATAATTGTCCATCTCTTCATTGATCACTATGGCCTTGAAGCATAATGCATGTCCAGGGCCCCCTTCCCCATTCATATTGAGGTTAGAGAATTTTGCTTAAACTGCTCCTGCACATAGGCCTGAATTGCATGGTTTCTTCTTCAACTTTCTGGTTTCTAGTCCTGATGATGCTTCCTTTATTGTCATTGAATAGTCTCCTATTTAGCTAGTCTCCTTCTTTAACCAGAGTTATTAGCACAGTGCAACAGCACTCTAACTCCTTAAGCAAATGTCATCTAGCAACTTCTTTATTTTGCTTAACAATCTCATTTTAGAGAAATACTTGAGCATGATTTCACCTCTTAGGACTCCTTTGTTATCTGTCCCCTTTAGATAACATGTTTGAAAACATTTTCTCTACCAAATTATATACATTAAGAATATACCATTTTTCTATTTTAATTAGATATGTAACTGCTATGTAGACCCTCTGAGTTTTTAATTGCATAATTACCAAATAGAATTGATGTCATTACACGAAAGAAGTCAGACTTTTTGGTTCATGTAGCTTTTTTTTTTTTTTTCCTGAGCACATGAAACTTTTCTGTTTTAAAATAGTAAAACAGATCATGAGACATCTTTATAGTTTCTAAGACCCTGCATACCTGTACCCACGTTAGGTTTAGGTTTTCAATGGCAACAGAAAGCAATCCCTGCCTTAAGAGGAATTTCTGTTGTGCACACAAAGTGGGAGTCTTATATTGTCTTTTTTGCCCCCTATGTTTAGATATTTAAAAGTGCTAAACTTTGCAACTATTTTCTAGTTCAAGACGTCTAATCTGACCCTCCCTATGTTTTGTTTCCCACATATATACCTCCATCTGAACTATGTTTAATGATAAAGAATTCTGATTTCTTCCCATCTTAAGTGACTTATGAATTCTGCCAATAGAAGCCTCATCCTCTTTGTTTTTGAAAGTGATGTGTTGCCGTTTACCTCATTATTGGAAAGACAGTGGAGGCTTAGGGAAGAGGCTGTGGCATCAGAACACCCTGGGCAGTATAACTGGGGACAGGTTACTTTACCTTGCTCTGCCCCAGTTTTCTCTTAAAAACAGCATGTGTTTCTTTGGGATGTTACATTTTGAAGATCAAATGATATTCTGTACATATACTCCCAAAATTAGCTACCTACAGTAGAAGTATAGTGATTTTTGCCTTTCCCAATCTATAATAATAAAAGTGTAATATGCTAATTAGACTGGTCCTCCTTCTGGACGACCTTCAGAACAAAGCCGGGACTGCAAGGGAAGCCAGGTCCCCAGTGCAGAGGGAAGCTGGTGCTGGCAGCGGAGGGAAGGAAGGCTTACTATTGCAAGGATATCATGCATTGGGCCTCTAGTTCTTTATAACAAGGAGATATTTAAAGTATTTTATTCCCTTTTTTTAACTTTATGCTTCCCTATAGAATACTTCGAACTAAATAAATAGCTACCAATTTTAATCAGTACTTCTGTCTTTAGATTATTTCTCCAAAATCGTTAGAGTTATGTCTTATCTACTTAAAGATTTGTTGTTCATGCTATTTGCAGACTTTAAGTTGATTTTTGGTTCATATAATTGAAATAACACTTTGCAGTGAACAAATGTAAAATCAATTATAACTCATTAAATCTTGTGTGTTGATCAAATACAATTTATTCTTCTGAATATTCAAACTAAAGTGGTGATTTGCTAAAAAAAAAAAAAATGAATTCATTCAGTGTAGATATTTTTAGTTGTTTTTTTTCTTTCTGTTTTGTGGTTGTTTTTTTATAAAGAGGGCAACCAGATCAAAACTCATTTTTCCAAATCATTTAAATGTAGAAATTTGATGCTTGTCAACTCTAAATGTAATTTTCAAGGACTACTCTTTAGACCAACTAGGCAAATAACAGGAACTCCAAAGTACTAATCATTTTTTGTGTATTTCTTAGTTCTTGTAGATTAATTCCTATAATATCAGAGAAAAGAAAATCATGTTAAAGTCCTGTGGTTGGATGTTGAGTCAACTTATGTAATTATAATAGAATATATCTTCTATCCTTGCTTATTCTAGTGAGCTTATGATTTCGAAGTTGTCTTCATTGGCCTCATTGTTATGGATGTACAAAGCTCCAAACTAGAACAAAATACATATTCTAAATATAGGATCATTTTTCTACTATCTTTGGTATCTGTTTATTTAAGGAATTGATCAATGCCAGGTGGTGAATATTTTGGAAATGCAATCTTGACACTTAATTGCTAGGTTCTTCTAATCTTTATTCTTTAGACTTTTCACTATAAAAACACACCTAGGCTAACTGGCTTAATTTTTCTCTTTAGTGATAAGATATATACTTGCTATGCAAAGCTCAGTGGGATAATAGATGCATTTGACTGACAGTTTCTATGTCACTAAATGACTGGTAATTTGTATTTCCCTTTTACATTTTAAGTATTTTTATTGTTCCC